GTTTATTCTTAATTTTCTATATTTTTTAAAATTTGGAGTAAATAAACCTTGATAGTTATACATAAATAAGTATGTGTCACAACTAAAATAAAGTAATTGGAAATAAAGCAATTCCCACTCAAAAACATCCTACAAATCAACACGGGTGATTTAATAATAATTAATAATAATATCAAGTAAGTAGTCTTAGTAATTGAGCTTGTATTGACAAGATTATAATTTTATTAGAAAAAACTGCCATTAATTGCCAATAGTGGGTATACTCAATGATAATTAAGTAATTGCAATTAATTAAGGTATGTGTGCAAAAAATTAACCGCATTTTACACAGCTGTTAACGATATTTTTTATTAGATTATAAAATAATAATTTTTATAAAAATAGCCACTAAAAAATATGTTATTTTATGTAATATGTCAATCTAGTTATTGATGATTGACACTGTTTAGGGGTGCATTTACAACGTTTTTTTTATGCAGTAAGTTTCGTTATAGTTTCTAAGCAAATTTTAACAATTTACGTTGGCATTTCTTCTTTCACAAAACAACCAGTTTAATTAATTATTATTCATAGATTCGCCGTGTATCGTTTTTGATTTAATTAATGAAAGGATATCAAAGAAACTCCAATTATCTTGCAATTACGTATCTGATAAATGTTATTTTATTTATCTTAATAATAGACAGCTCAGATGATTCAATTAGACGTCTTACAGATGAATACGGACGTCATAGATTGACAGGTACGTTTAAAATGATTAATTAGATTCATAATCATAAATTCTGGTTTAGTTTTCCTAAACATATACTTTGAATGTATACATTTTTACACATGGTATTATTTGCTTTTATATACTACTATTCAACTACTATTCTATTTTTTAATTCTAATATCGAAAAATTGGTTTTTGGGTAACTCTCAAAATAGTTAACAGTTTGTTCGATAAATTCAAATTTTTTAAATTAAGTATATCCCGTATGGTCTTGTGGTTAGGATTGCATTTTGCATATTGCAGATTGATTGTGATTATTTTTAAACGCTCATAACGTTTCAAAGATAATCGCAACTAATGTATACATTTATAGAAAAAATCTGCATAGAAAAAAAACACAAGTATGTTTTTCTAAAGGGTTAAACTTAAAGAAATTAATTTTTAATATTTTGAAAATTTTGACACGCTGAATATAGATCTAAAATCAAAACTTTCAATATTAAATCATAGGCGTAAAATTTTGGGTGGTAAAGGGCAAAAACATCGCCAAGTTTTCTTGGTTTATTTCTTTTACTGAAATTTTAAAATTATAGAGAATTTTTGTGTAAAATGCATTTATAAATTACTTTTTTTAGCATACCATCTAATATAAATGTACCTATAGGTACATAAGCTTATAAGCTTATGATTAAATTTTGCAGTTTTTTTTTAGGTATTGTTTAAGCACCTCAAAATTACCAAAGTATCAAAAAATGATGTCTTTATGTTCAGGACTCTCTTCAGGGGGCTGTAGCTCCGTTAGGGGTCATTTTTCAATATATTGAAATATATTCAATATATTGAAATATATTTCAACATGTATACATGTTTAAAAAACAAATTAGTGTTTAAATTTGGCCCCTTTATTTCAGGGTGTCTCAGATTTTAATCGGGAAAATTTGACAGTCAATAGACCTTTATTCTGTAATTACTTGAAAACAAAGCTTTTACTAATTTTGTATGAGTTTGATATTATATTTAAATTAAAAGTTGTGTTTTTAATTGCTTTTATCTAAAAATAATATTAAAAAGCAGTGTTATACCCACATTTTATTTTTAAATAACTAGTTGGGATGGCCCAGCGCCGCCTCTGGATTAACTAAATTAAATTTAATTACACTAAATTGGCCCTTTACCTATTACTAAAAACCTGTACATATTTTTACAAATTCGGCCAAGTAGTTTTTAAAATGTTTGAAAAAATAAATATCTTTTTAATTACTTTACCACCCTATATCTCGAAAATGTTGCCTTAAAACATACAAGTTCATATAAAAGTTTCTTCTAAATTTTTTCAATTAAAATCCTTTATAACCCTTTATATTTATTTGTTGCTTATACGTAGATAGGCTTCTTTTGAGGTGCCCAGAAACCAATTTTGCGATATTAGAAGTCAAAAAAAAAGAATAGAAGATTTTTTGAATCATCTTAATAAGCATAAATCAATCATTCTGTGTTTAAGGTGTTTTTTAATTGTAGAAAATTTTTAAACTAAATTCTTACATTGTGTTTTAATAGTATACAAATTAGCTGTTTGATTTTTAGATAAATAACATGTTTATTCCAGGAAATCAATGTCATTAATGAAGGTTGATTTTCTTAGATAGTTTTCCTAGATTTTTAAAAATATTTTTTTATTGTTCGTATTTGATTTAGGAAAAAAACAATTGCTACCTATTAAGTAATAATCTGGTTAACCTTCAATATCAAAGCAATTTTCAATTACATAAATCAACTTGTGGTTTTGTAAAAATTTTCGCTGATTTTCTTTGATCTTAAAACATTTATTTTAATTGATTTAATTATATATTAAATTTATTTTCTGTAAAATTTGATTTGATTTAATTTGATTTTAATATATTTCCCATGTAAGGGAATTTTAAATTTTAATTTTTTCAACGCCGGCTAGGATCTGCTAAATGGGTCGAAATTAAAAAAACGACCATTAGACAATTAAATAAAAAAGAATATGATTCAAACCCGCCTCAAAAGTTTGGGCTCAATACATTAGAGTAAAATTTTAGGGTATACAAATATACAGTGTATATGATTTTATTATGTAATATTTTTTAGCAATACATTTTTATCTATTCGTTAAAAAACACCTTAAACGCTTTGCTAGACAAATACAATGGGATATAATCATTATTCACGGACATGTTTACATTATTTTATGTTTTATAAGCATGATTTTCTTTATTTTATTCTTGTTGCATGGCTAAGACCTTCTGGAAGCTGATGAGAATGAGGATGACAACTTTTTCGGAAGATCATACAATAATTACTATGATACATATCGCAAAAAAGCGTCTCGTAAGTCAAATGGAAATCATCAACATCATGTTTTATAACGTTGTATATCATCTATTCATGTCATTGTATAACATGTTCGTATCTACAGGGTGTTTGAATGCTAAAGACCTAAACGTCAAAAAATGTGGAATGTTTGAAAAATGTAGGTATTGGTCTTAATTAAAACACTTTTGAAGGCGTTTAGAAAATGTTATTACTAACTAACACTTTCACAAAAATATAGGTAATATAACAAACCAAAGGAATTTGCAGAAAATATATCGCCCACCGTATTGGATTTTTATATGCAAATTAATAGCGCAAAAAATTGTTTATGTTATTTTGCTTCAAAATTTTCTATGAAGCGTATTAATATTTGCGTAGGATAATTTAAATACAGTTATATTATTCATTTTAAAATGAAGATCCAAGCAACAATAATAACGTATTTTTTTAATATTAAGGATAGAAAGATCAGATACATTCTCTCTTAAAATGAATTAATCAAAAATAACTAATTATAAGTCATATTTAACTAATTGTCATAGGAAAAATGCAGTCACTAATAATAAGTCAAATTCTACTGAATGAAATAGTCAAATTAGTAGATTTAAATTTAAAAAAGTTTTTTTCAAGCATGCATAGAGATAGTTGAAGTGCGTTTTTTTCATTAGCCGCAGACAAAAAACTCAAAAAGCCTAGGGATAGAAATAAATTCATATAGGTGACTCAATAGACGTCAAATAATAAAATTAATTTAGCATTTCATACAAAGCAATCACGATGTATTAATTATATTAATTATAATCGCACGGAATATTTAGTGATTATTTATTAAATTTTAATTGAACGAAATAAAGAACAACTAGTTTATTAGTATAATATTATGATGAAGACGAATCGCCAATATCGGAACTCCAAACAAATGTTAAAATTAATTCAAGCGCTGCATTTTGACAGAGCAGTGTTTATTTTTAGTTTAGGATATTTATCGGCATTGTAAGTAAGGGTTATAAGTTTTTTTAGTTTTTATCAATAATTTCTAATGCTTTTAGCAAAATTTTTATACCACATGAGTTATGAGTAAGTAAATATAGTAATTCTATTGCTTATCCTATTTATATTACGCCCTTGAAAAAAAAAATTGTGTATGTTATTTGGAGTAGAAGCTCTTTTTGTGGTGAGTACAGAGATTGACGGCCGAAGCGTAGCTGAGGCAGGCAACTGTACGAAGCACAAAAAGAGCTTCTACTCCTTATGACATAATCTATTATTGTGACCCAGCCGTTGATGATCTAAAGCCACTTTTATGAGGTTTAGTTTTATTTGTCTATAAATATTGTTAATAATATTTTTAAGTTGAATATCTTTTTTGTGTTACTGTTTTAAGCTAAATTGTTTGCTTTTTTTGTTTTTATGTGCCATTTATCCATGGATCCTATAGGCATTAATTTAACTCTTACAATAATTTACTGCCGTAAACGATTAAAGAAATTAGTTTCTTCTCAGAAACATTCAAAGATGCTGACTTATCTTAAATTAGTCAAACTATTTAAGTAGTAAAAAATAACTATTAAAAACGACTGTTTTATTAGTAAACAATGCTGGTACTAATTAAAATAGTTAAATTTTGACTATTTCATTTTAAGAGAGTTAGGTATTTATTCCTAGAAAGCATATCATATTTATATTCCATATCTTGGTTCAGTGTAAGTAGATACATGACTTTTTGTAAATAAAAAATAGATTTTGGTTAGTGTTTTTTATTTTATTTGTTTGCAAAGTTGGCTACTATAGCTTATCACTTTTTTGCATTGTTCTTTACACATGTTTGCAATGTACACTATTTTTGCCATCTCAAGTAAAACATACTTTTACTTGGGACGGTTTTTGTTTGACACACATTTTTCTGCACGTTTGCTGTAATTTTAGTTGCTTTTTGTGTTTGCTTGTGTAGCTGGTAGCACTGCTTCCTCCACGGACGCCATCTGGGACCCGTATTCGAGACGTCTCTCTGAAGCTGGCTTAAGTCGCCATTCAGGTACATATTCACAGTTTTTTCAAGTCATTTTGTATAACATTTTGAGGTAACCACTTTGAGTAACAAATTAGTTTAATATTATTTATTGGAACTATTGTTATTTGGGATGTTTTTTTCTCGCTTTAGATTCCAGTGCCGTCCTTACAGAAGACACGGATAGCTTTATCATCGGCCAAAGGGTTTGGGTTGGGGGTTCGAAACCCGGTAAAATCGCCTTCATAGGGGAGACTCAGTTTGCGCCTGGGGAATGGGCTGGTATAGTCCTAGATGAGCCTATCGGTTAGTTTTTTTCTTGATTGATTTTGATTTGTTTTTGACAACACAGTTTATAGCATTTAAAGAATTTGGTAGTCAGATTTGATGAAGTTATCTTCAAACAGCAACTCTAGACACCAATGTGACTAAAGTCTTCCATAATTACCTCTAAAGCAGTTACCAAAGAATATATTAGTACATTCTGTAACAAGTTTGGAATACAGCATATTCTGCTCGAGGAAAAATTTGACACACGAGCCGAAGGCGAGTGTGACGGTTTTACGAGAGTGGAATATGCTATTCCAAACGTGTTTCAGACATTATTTTCTCTATGACTACGTAAGAATAGTAACGCTTATATAATTTTAACCAGAGAAAAGAAATCAAGCAGTTTTTGACATTTAAGTTTTTTGTATTGTCAAACCATTTTGTGCCGTCACAATTTTATAATGTAAATTATAATAAATATAAACAAATGGTATGCCCAAATCTTTATTATAATTAAAAATAGTTATTTACACTAACTAATAAAAAAAAATAATATTGTAACAAATACAAAACTAATTTTTTCTACTCCTATTACGGAATTTGACCGTTCTATTCCGACTTTTATCTATGGAATGACATATATTCCGTAAAGTGTTACAGAATGAAATATTCTATCATCCTATGACAGAATAAACACTCGTGGCGACATCTCTGTTTTTAATATCTAACAAATTTTAGACCGATCCAACCTCACTTTCTTCCAATCCAATCCTTCCAATTCTATGGTATTTTTTGGAAACGTAGAAAAAGTATAGTCTGAATCACGTTTGGAATTGCATAAATATTCCGCTCTCGTGAAACCGTCAAACTCGCCTTCGGCTCGTGTGACAAACTCTTCACTCAAGCGGAATATGCTGTATTCCAAACTTGTTACAGAATATACTATTACAAGTCGTCGTTTATCTGACAAAGAGGCGTATCTCATTTTTAAACAAAACGGTGTGAATTGAATTACGCCAGTTTGTACGGCACACAAAATGCAAAAATATTAGTTACGCCGAAACTGCTTTATGCTAAAACTTTATTTGTACCTATTTATTATAGAGCTACGCCAGTTTGTGAGATTATAAAGTCGATTTTGGTGATCATTCTGGTATAACTCAAAAACGAATTTTTTTGAGTTACGCCTCTTTGTCAGATAAACGACGAAGTAATCTATGTCAACATCTATTCTTTTTCTACATTTTAAAGGTCTTTTTTAAACTTTTTGAATCTGTCAAAACTTCAAAGCTGGTATAGTAGGTAACTGGTTTATCATTTTAATATCAAATTTATTATAATTTTGATTTGTATATTTGAAAAACAATAAATATAACTAATTTTTTGTGCCTAAACCTTAATTATACAACTGCTATAATTTTTTTATTTATAAATAATACAGTAATATTTAAATATTTTTAAATTTTTTACGTTTAGTAAACAGCCAGAAGATGTCGTTACTTGTGACCATTCTTAAACAAGAGTGGGAATATTCTTGCACAGTATTGCAGAAAAACATCCTTTCTATGATCAAAAATTACACTAGAATGTTACTATTCTTAAGTAGAAAAAAAAATTTAAATAATTAAAACTTGTTATTCAATTAGTTGGAATTTTACATAATTTTAAGAATATTGTTTGGTAACTGCTTCTGAGGAAGGTTATTATGAAATAAGTAACATTTTTGTCTAGAGTAAAAGTCATTTTATTATTGCGATTTTATACGTTTTTTTGTTTTTGTTCTAATTTTTAAGTAATTCATCATTCAAACCATGATACAAATAAATTTATCATGATTCAAACTTAGTTGTCAAAACAAACCATTTTTCCATTTAAAAGTTGTTTGGTATTACATTTCTTTTTATTGACGTTTTAAAGAACACTCCCAAAAAATTATTAAAACATTATAAACTCGACATAAATTCCCTCCAAAAAGTTATGCTAAAACTAATAGTCCTGATTGATTGATACGTAGATTAAACATTGTCAATATTAAATATTAATAGGATAAAGTATAAGCTTGTAACCTGATATTCGTGGTTTTAAACTTCTTGTTTATTTGCCGACTTTTTTTTACGATAAAATACCAAAGGACGCCTTATATGCATAGTTTAAACAAAACAAAACTGTACAAAATTTTAGGTAAAAATGATGGCTCTGTAACCGGTATAAGATATTTTCAATGCGAGCCCAAAAAAGGTGTTTTCTCACGCCTGACAAGATTAACCAGAGTACCTTTGGATCAACCTGGTATGGGTTCCGGTGATAACTTTACTTCTCCGACACCAAATAATGGTTTTAAAAGTCCCATATCACCCACAGGAAGTCACAGGAGTTTGCCAAAATCACCTTTGTCTATAAGTAGGTCTTCAAAAATGTTCTTTGAAGGATGCTTTAAAGGAATACTTTTCAGGTGGTTCAATTACTAGCCTGGCTTCAACCGCCCACATTGATTATAAACTTGGCGATAGAGTTATAGTGAAATCCAGCCAGGGTAGTAAAATAGGTCATGTTAGATACATCGGTTTCACAGAATTTGCCAATGGTGAATGGGTGGGTGTTGAGCTCGATAACCCCCAGGGCAAAAACGATGGTTCCGTTAACGGAAAAAGGTACAAAACAGGTCAATAAAAATGAGTTTTATTCCCCCTACAATTTTTTTAGGTACTTTGACTGTCAACAAAATCACGGGCTGTTCGCGCCACCCTCAAAAGTATCAAAAAGTCCCAGCAAAGTCAAGCCTGGGTCTTGTCAGGTTCACCCCAGTGGCGGGTTACCTCCATCTGGGTTAAGACGCGCCAACTCCAAAGAGTCCATGGCCTCTTTAGCGTCGATAACAAGCGCCGCCAGTGGCGTGCGAAGGGTAAGGTTAGCCAATAACAGCCTAAGTCCGGTCAAGGTAGGTTGAGTGTTGATAGTGGTTTTTAAAAGTCTTTAAAATGTCCCAAACTATTTTTAAAATGTACAAAAAAGTTTTAAATACTAAAATTTTGGAAATACGGTGGTGCACAGCCACTTATTTCTTACGCCACGTCAAGCTATATAGGGTGTTATGTAATTAATGTTATATATTAAAATGGGTTGTTCCTTAGGGTCCATAAAGAAACACCTGAAACTTTTTTTTTCTAAATTCCAAAGTCTAAAAATAATTTATAATAACCTTTATCCTACCAAAAATCGCCACTGATCGACTAGGAACTTTAGGTTAATCTGGTGGATTTATTATGTTATGGTTGGTAACAACAGTGTTTCCAAAATCTCTCAAAAAAGTTGACAAACATTGTTTAAATTTAGCTTAATTACAAAAATGACAAAATTAACAATGCAAATTTTCAATTTGGCGTTTTTATTAATTGTTGGTTATGTCATTTTTGTACTGAAGGTAAATTCAAACAAAATCTGCCAACTTTTATGACAGAATCTAGTGCATTTCTTTTAAATTTTAGGTTATGTTTTCAAATTGTAAATATCTTAACTAAGGGAAGTGCTTTTGGATTTATTTACACTAATTAAATGTTTAAAGTTTAACCTGTGAACTGGTCCCAATTTCATCTGAGTAAACAGAAAAAAAAACTGATGAAAAAATTAATTTTGTGGTTATGGATTTCAAATTTCAAAGGTACTAAATTTTCTAATCATTGCTTAAGCTAATAGCTGGATCAGTAAATAAATACAGAAGGGTATTAGAGCTTTAAGGGCATAAAACTTTTGTATTTATTGAGTTTTTATTTATTTTTGCAAGAAAAATTTTTAGTAACAATTTTTTACATCTGGCAACGCATAGCTACTTTGTTGGTTGGTATCTATGTAGATAAACCAAGTGTGTAACCAGTGGCGTATCACAAAAAATATAAAAAACTTCTAATGCATATTTTTTGTTTATCTTTGGAAAAATGTTTTTTTTAATATTTTTCCTTTATTCCTTATGTCAAAAGGTATTCAGTATTTTAATATATAACATTAATTACATAACACCCTGTATAAAAACTGTTTAAAAATCTTCTTATAAACTAAATTGCTAAAAAAACTATTTGGGTTTCTTTTAAAAATATTGTTTTGGACAATTCATAAAAGCATTTTTTATTTTAAGCATAAATATACTGCTAAAATTTTGTTGATGGTATTTAAAAACTTGCTTTGCAATAGTTATTTTTTTTTACATAATATATTTGTTAAACCATCAAAATTTGTTTACGCTGGTCAACACCAACCAATAAAATAAGATAAGTAACATTATTAACATTAACACAATTTAACAAGTTTACTCATAAAATTAAATACAACGTACTAAAAGCAACTTAAGTTATTTAATTGGTTTGTGTTTATTAACTTTTTAACAAAACCGTTTTTGAGTAATTTTTTTGCTAATTTTTTTTGCTTAATTTTTTTAAATAGAACGTAACCCCCAGAAGTTCCGCGACCCCTCTCCCCACACGAACGGCTCTACAGGTATACACGTATTAAAATGTTTCAACGTATTTTTTATACATTAAAAATCAGAAAAATCAGCTTTTAGCTTTCTAAATGTTGTATTTAATTACTATTGTAGTATTAATAAAAACTAGCATAACATGCTACTATTTTAGTATTTTTTATTTTAATTTAGGTCGGTTTTAATACAAATTGGGATATTTTTCTTATATGCCTTACTAATTACTATTGTTTTTTAGGTTTATATGTTAGAGTATTTATATGTTTTAATATTGTTAAAATTAATAAAGTATAATGAAGTTTGTGTGTGTTTTATTGATTTCATTGTATGATGTTAAATTAAATATTGTGTAAGGATTATTACCCACAACCTTATTGAAAAGGAAAAAAAAAAGTAAAGTTTTAGAGGATATATTAAGAACTATCAAATTTTAATTTAATATACAGTAGGGTGATTCTTCTTTTTTTAACGTCTAATATTGAAAAATTGACTAGGCCCCTAAAAAGAAGCCAAACTATGACCTTTATATTAATAGTAAGATTTTGATAGTAAATTGAATCCTCTACAAAAAAGGTTTTTCGATAAATGTAAGCGTATAATAACTACTCTGAAAAATATACATTTTACATGTCGATTTTATTTTAATTTGCATTTCAAAATATTCATTAAAAAAATTATTCCGGTACTGGGAATCGAACCCGAGCCTCCTGTGTAAAAACATTAAAACATTTATTTGTCATATTAATAATTACATTACAACATCAATTCAGGGGAAAAACTTATAAAACCCCTATCATATTAACAGCCAGGTAACCTAACCTACTTTATATTAAACAAAACATATTATTCCGCGCTCGCGATTATCTTTGAAATGTATACATTTATCAAAAAAACTTTTTTAAAAATCATTTAATTTACAATAAAATTATGTAGGTACCAGTCATTTTAAAATCCTATCTATTCTGCGAGTTATACAATTTTAACTTAAGATATCTTTTAAATGGCCATGAAAAAACATAGGATACCTTTTTAGTAAAGCATTGAATGCAATATCAAAATGTGTATTAAGCTTAGCTATACAGGGTGTTAAAAAAAGGATAACATATTTCTAGGGCGTATAGTAGAGCCAAGAAGAAGACAAAAAGTCCTTTGGCGTTGTTCGTTCTGACAAACCTTTAATTAGTTTATAATTAAAAAATTAAAGTTGCCAACCCCACGCATGCTTTAGCAGAAAGAGTGAAGGTGCGACAAAGGAATGTCAGAAAATTTAACCAAAAAACAAAAATACCGAAAACTATACAACTACTATCGAATTTCTACAAAATGTGTTTTTTTATAATCTTTATTTAATTTTGAATTTTAGTATTTAAAAATCTACAATTGACTATTACCAGTGGCGGACTAAACCCGACGGGGCCCGGGCGGTAAAATAAAATGGGGCCCCTAGTCTGCTTATGAAATAATGTGATTGTTTTGTAAATATTAATTTTTTGTTATTTTAAATTTGTTAGTAAGTCCTTTGCAACACTCTTAATGTAATCAGCGATATGAAAATTGATTACAAGCTTTTTCCAGTGACCTTATAAGTATACTTATATTTGAACTTGTTAATAATTTAAATTTTAAAAATCCAGGGGTCCACTTATGGCAGTCTAAGATTAATCATTATTTAATGTAATTATAACCTTTTATCTAATTCCTGATGGATTGCAGCTAGGGGCTCCCGAGACCAAAATATAAAGAATCTTTTTTAGTTTTGACTTTATATTTTGATTTTTTTTCAAACCATGTTATTCATTAGAAACTTGAAATCTCCGGGGTATTTTTTTTAATCAGTTTATATTTTATGGTAAATCTGGGTCCTGAAATATTTATACCTATACTAGGGTTTTAAAGTGTCGAAAAAAAAAACCGAAAAAATTGGGAAAAAACCTGGCCTTAAAAAAATATCTTTTTTGGGAAAAATTGAATTTCTTTTTGAAAAATATATATGTACATTTGAAAAAAGTAGCAATCAACAACTTAACATTAATTTAATTAAAAAAAAATAAAACTAATCATTGAATTAAATTAAATTGATTTAAGAAAATGATATGATTATATTCAACTCTCGATATCAATGTACGGATAGTAACTATGTACTATGCTCCACACCTCAAAGTCCCACCACGTGACCACGTACGGAACGCAGTCTTTTGAAAATATGGCATTTAATTCTTTTCAGGTTGATGTATCTGTCAAAGTATATGCAATGAAAGAAATAATATTTATAGTATTACCGCTTATGTTTAAGCATTAATAAATCTTTATAGTATCACAATAACAATGGTTGGTTTAAGAATTTAGGAATATAAATACTGCATTTAATGAAATTCCAAAGTGTAAGGTGCAATATAAGTTATATTTTTGTGCATTGGGTCTACATTTCTCCATAAAATAGTTTTAACTAAACAGCATTTATTAAAAAAAATCTAACCTCACTATTATGAAATAAGAATATCAAAGGTAGGTTAATGTATAAGAACAAAAAATATCATCTAATTTTGTATTTTAAGGTTAGAAAAATCTATTTTGACCAAAATAAATAAGTGGATTATTTGAAAGAGTGTGAATGGTCATAAATAAATATAGGTATACTAAATAATTGTTGAATATAGTTCAAATTAAATTGAAGCTTTTATACTTCTAATGACAAAACTTGTGCATACCTCTCGGCATACCTACTTTAAGTTAGATTATAAGAAAACAAACAATTTTTAAAGAAACTTGCAATGTGAAAATATTTAATACTCCCATGACATGTGATTTATTAAAATTTTTAAAGTTATAATGATTTTTCGATGTAGATCAAATTCAGTCGAAGCTCTATAACTATTTGTACTGACAAAACTTTATGTAGGTACACTTTAAGCTGGATAAGAAAAACTACCACATTTTTAAATACCATATTATACAGTCTTTTAAATAATCCAAAATACTTATTTATTTTGGTCAAAATAAATTTTTCTAACCTTAAAATTACAAAATTAGATGATATTTTTGTTATAATATATTAACCTACCTTTAATACAGATATTCTTATTCCATAATAGAGAAGCTAGATTTTTTAAAATAAATGCTGTATAGTTAAAATTATTTTATGGAGAAAACCAGATATTTGGACCAAATGCACAAAAATATTACTTATTTGGCACCATACACTTTAGAATTTCATTAAATGCAGTATTTATATTCTTAAATTCTTAAACCATCCATTGTTATTCTAATGTTATAAATATTTATACATTTTTAACGCCGAAACATAATATTAATTCTCTCGTTGACTATACTTTGACAGATACATAACCTGAAAAGCCTTAAATGCCAAATTTTCAAAAGACTGCGTTCCGTACGTGGTCACGTGGTGGGACTTTGAGGTGTGGAGCATAGTAAATATATGTAAAAATTTGTAAATTTTTAGAAAAATTGACTTTTGCATTTGTTTGTATTACTGTTTGAATAAAAGGAGAAAAATGCAAGTCAATTTTTCTGAAAATTTTCCATTTTTTTTTTTTGATAAAACCGTTTTTTCCGGAAATTTTAAAACACTATATTTTAGATAGTTTTTTGTTGGACTGAGAAAGACTACTTAAGATTTGTGTCAAAAGTAAAAAAAAATCTCAAAACTGCTTATTTTACTTGTGACACTTTTGAAGCGGGTTTCCGATAAGTTTGTGGTTAGGGTGAAAAGTTACTATATACCAAAAACTGCCAGATCTTTATTTTTTGGAAATCGAAAATATTTAATGTTAGGTTAGATTGGGTGTTAGTTTCTGTTCTGTTTCGTTGCAAGACCATCGTGCGTGGCTAGTACTTTCAAAAACACAATAATTTCGGAAAAACTCAAAAGAAATCGTAGTACCGTGCATATCGTATACCTATTCAAAACTCTTTGTAACATTTGAAACTGGTTCGCACGTGACGTCACATGCGCGGAGTCGACGAAATTTGTAAAAATTCAAAATTGCGATGAGGAGGATCTTATTATTAATATTAAGAGCTTCTTTTCAGGAGTCCAGAAACCAATTTTTCGATCTCTGAAGAGATAGTAGATTTTTTGAACCACCCTTATATACAGAATGTCCCCACTAACGCCATAAACCGTGATACAAAATTCCAAATAGTTTTTGAGTCAGTTTTTAAAGTTAAATTTCATTTTTATCAATTTAATGTTTTAAGAATATATATTTGTACAGGGGCCTCAAAAATGCCGCACTTACGGTAGGCCACGCTGTAGTATGAAAAAAGTCCGGGACGCATTCTGCAAGTTATACCAAATACGTGATTTTTAACAAAAATCTAGATCGGCCCCTAGGCTTTTAAATCCCAAAAGAAGGGATCTATGCTTAAGTCCCTTACAAGTATAACTAACTCAAATTTTAAAATCATGCTTGGTGGCACCCCTTAATGTTAATATTAAGAATTTAAAATTAATATAAAAGCAATTACACTAAATTTCAAAAACACCTCCATTAAGGACCACCCTAATGTAAATATTACAAAAATGTTCTAAATGTTTTACTCTGGAATCTTTACTTTCTTTATTTCCTCGTTTTTTCATCTAAATATAAATACTTAACACTAAAAAAAAATTGTAATTTTTTATAACAAAATTAAGTGGGCACAATTTTATTTATTAAACAGTTCATAAAACGTACAATTTAAATAAAAATTAAAAGTAGAAAGTGATGTGAGGTAGATCCAAATTAGTTAATAATAAATTTTATCCGAAATCGGCAGTAAAGTAGTCAACAATCGGCAGTAAAGTAGAACTTTACTGCCGATTTAATACGATTATTGTATGCAACCCATTATACATTTTAAGATGTGTCTACTGCTACTCAGCAGCAACTTAATAATATTTAAAAAAAGCACCGTCGCGGAGGTCGATTGGAGCCTTTCATAAAATGTTCTTTATTAAAAATAATAAGTTAATTTTATTAATTAGATTAAAAAATCGCCGCGGTGGTCAAATATATCATAACCGTTGCAACAAACAACATACGTAGACACTTCCTACATTCAAATGACATTTGATTTGACCATCAAACGACATTTGATTTCATCATTAATTATTAATTATTAGTATTATTAAATGTGATTGAGTATGAGTATAAGAGACGTATAACCAGCCCCATTTCCTCTTGACTCTCGAACCCCGTACAGGCCTATGTTTACTTGCGCCGATTTTTGTTCTTCCCCAGCAACTGCACGGCTTCACCCGTGTTTGCTGGGTGCGAATGTCCATTGCGTTTCGTACTGTCCCCTATTTGGGGCTCGAGAGCGAGAGGCGAATAGTTATAATAGCCATTCCCGGGTTCGCCGAGCCTATGCTATACGCTCGGTGGGGTGTGGATGAGGGACGGGAGGGAGTTGGTTTTTGGGGGACAATTACGCCGACTTAAAACTAAGTACGACGCGGAATCCCCCTAGACCAGTCGATTAGTATTACTCCAAACATTTGGGATTACTATTTGGAGTTGGGGAGTTGTTATTTCGCTGCAGGGGTGTAGTCGAGGTCTTTGTCTTGTTCGTTATTGTCATTGTCCGTGTCCTGGTCAGATAGCTCCTGCCCTTGGTAAAGTGTGTCAGTTGTTTTTAATACTTTTTTGTCCCAAGCACGTTTTGTGGTAGAGTTCCGTCTTTGTTTATCAAATTCCAAGGCATTGGATTTATTCGCTAGTCCAACAAATCACAAGCGCGATCATTCTGTCGTCTAATGTTTACAAATCTCGAGTTTGGCTATTACCCTAGTAGAAATTTAAATGGGGAATCAGTAGGGCGCTAGCTAGTTTTCCCCAAATGAAACGAGGGCCTCGCTAGGAATCCCTACTAGTTTCCGACTAGTCATGTAATGCTTTTCCTGGTGGGGAACTACTGGGGAAAAGCTGGTAGGGAAAACTAGCTTAAAACTGGTTGGGAATATTTGTGAATTTTTTAACCAATAATAAAAGCCAGAAGCTAAAATTTTTTTATTAGATTTATATATTTACATTATCGTTCGATCACTTTTGGAATTATTATTGTCGGTTGTAAATTGATTTGGTATAACTTCTTGTGACAAGCCAAATTTGTTTGTTGCACCATGACTTGAAGTTAAATCACTATCAAGTTTTTCTGCACCATTGGAAGAATCTAACAAATAAATGGATAAATTAATACAACGGGTGAGTTTTAAGTAGAGAGGTTATTTTTAACAGCGTGTAGAAATCAAGTAGACAAACGAATACTTCAAGTATCTCAAAAATAAGAGAGAAACAGCCTTTTAAAGTATATCTGCCAATACCACACGCGCATAGTTTCAACCATCTGGTACCTACTGCGCATAGATGTCCGCCAATTCTCAATTTTGGTTTTTAAAAAATAAAGTTATTTGAAATTTCAACAAATTATGTTTGACCATTGATTTCTAGACGCCTGTTAAATATACCCCTCAACTTGAATCTCACTCAAAAAATAACCCCTTAATTTTTGCCAAAAAGTAAAAGAAGTTTTTATGAAATCTAGCTTAAGTTAAAGGTGTTTATTTAATTAAACAACCTGTATTTGAAGATAATAATTCCTTAAATGTTTGTCCAAATGAAGCCTTGTAAATTAAATATACTTAAATAGTAAAATTAAAAAAAAAAACTAAGGTTAGGTTTAAACTATAAAATATCTTTACACATAAAGCAATAACTTACCGTACCGTATAGGGTAAATATATTTATTTAAACTTGCCTTAATTTCATTATCGTTTACACCAACCCATCTATCTTTTATCATTATTTTAATCATATAACAAACACAGCATTTAAACGTCAAAAAATGTAAAATCAAGAAAAACGTCAAAATCCTTAGTAACCTGTAAACAAGGAGATTTTCCCTACATTTCCTTACAAGTTTATGGTGAGAAAAACTTGAGTCAGCCTAGACTGGAATTTAATGAGGAAAACTAGATGTGAACTAGTCAGTCGGAGGCGAGTCACAACTAGGCAAGTTTTACTGGATAGTTTCTAGTCGGGGCCTATCTAGTATTTCCCTTTCTAGTTTTTCCCTATCTAAACCCAGCCAGCGCCCTACCAATAGTGAGGAAAACTGGACAAATTTCTACTAGGGTAGGCCCTTTTTTTAATGTGTTAGAATTTGTGATCAATGTTAGTTTACTCTGTCAGTCCAGTGTTTATTTTCGGTCTCGATTGGGACCGCTTTACGCACTTGCCGTTGACAGACTTATTGCCCCACGCCGCGCGCCCTTCGCAGGTTTTAAAGATATCCCAATAAACACTTTAACGATACCTATCACCATTAGCATTGTCCGTGTAAGAATTTTTAACACTTTTTAATACAATTTTGCAATGATAGTACTTAAAAACAAAACAATTGTTTAAAGAGTAAAATATGTTCTAAACATAATCATATTTTAAAGTTATTTTAACATTTTCAAGTAAAATAAATGTTATGTTTAATGAAATGAATACGGGCAATGTTAATGGAGACAAGCAACGGAAAATGCTTGCTGCAGCCCATGGGATCTGCCGTGTGACCCTAAATTTATTTATGATAAATTTTTGTCTTCTTGCTTGAATTGGTTTATTTGCTTACGCCTTTTACGCTGGTTGTTTACGTTTGTCTACTATGAGAAAGTTAGGTTGTTTATTTAACAGTTACGGAAATGTTCATATTATTTTTTAAATTTAATTTTTAAGACGAATAGATTTCTTAGATTTTTTTGCAACATTGTGAAATGCTTATATAAACATTTAACGATTATACGGTAAGACATGCAATTAGAAGAATTACTTAGCTTGATTATTAGGCTATAAACCTGATGCTTTGTCTTTCGCGGGGTGGCCTTCTCCTGTAGGTTTTTGCATAGAAAAAGGACATTTTTGGAACGCTCCGATCCAGGTGCGCCGGTTGACTTATCGTTGCTGCCCAGCCTCAATTAGGCACTTATTCACTTGCTCACTTTTACGGCGTTATCTCACAATTTTCGCACTTCTTGCACTTGATTGTTTATTTATGTATTTATTTATTATTCATTAACGATCACCGACATTTCCGGATACTTTGTTTCGTTTTTGGTATTTTACGTTTGTACCGTATACGCCACTTAGGAGGGATCTTGACGCATCCGACCTCTTCGAGCATCAAGACGGTACTGATTAGTATTATTAAATGTGATTTCGGATAAAATTTAATTTGCCTCGGCTTTCGCCTCTGCAAATAATTTCCCCATTCGTGATAAAAAATACGACTTTACTGCCTTGATACAAAAATAACTATTTATTCCCTAGGCTGTAAAAAACTTAACCCTATTGGTTCAAATCATTTTTAAATGCCTTTGTTATAATCAAATACTTTAGTAATCAGTGTTGACAACAATAACGTTTAAATTATAGACCGATTGAAGATAAAAATATTTTACTTTTTTTTACTATCTCAAAGGAAATCCTGTTTAATTTTATTAAAGCGTTTTTGCATTTGCTATTTTAAAAGATGTTAGGGCCAACAGTATATAAGAAAAAAGCTGATTTTTCTGGTTTATTAATATTTTGAAAAACTCTAAAATTTTTAACAAATATTTCGACTAGGACGTCCTAAAAGAAAAACAACAGCACATCGAGCAGCTGCTAAAAGAACGTGACCTCGAACGCGCTGAAATCACAAGAGCGGCCAGCCAAGCAGACGAAGCCGAACAAAAATACGCGCAGCTGAAATTGGAATACGAAAAAGTAATTTTTTGGAATGTTTTTTTTTTCAGAAAAATAATAAAATTTTGTTTTTTTAGTATCGGTTAGAGTGTGAAGCCAAGTTGCAAGAACACATGATACTATTAAATAAGCTTAAAGATGATCGAAGCGAGCTGATTGCTCAGCTGGAAAATGAGAAGAGGAAGAATGAAGATTTGCAGTTTCAGTTTGAAGAGGCGGCCATTACTAAAGGAGATGTCGAGGTAATTAATCTACAAACAAAATTTTTTTAAATATTTTTTTATCATTATTTTATTTATTATGTTCATGTTCATTTCATTTCAGAAACAAGTCTTGTTACAAAAAGTAAGTCTTGTGTTGTGCAGTTTTACTCGTGTTTTTATGCATATGTTTTTTGTCCAACAAGCAACAAAACAAAAGAAAATTTACTGAAAAAAACAATTTTTTAGCAAGAAAATCAATCCTACGAAGCCAAAATCAAAGAGTTGGAAGATACGCTTATAGCAGAAAGACAAAAAAGCGAAGGGGACGTTTTGAAAACTTTTGAGACTGAAGAGAGCCTTATGAAAGCACGTGAAGAAATTATTGCCTTAAAGAACGAAGTACAGCTTGCTAAGGCTTTAGGTGCTAGCTTGGAAGGGGACAAAGCCTCTACATCAGGTAAAGAAAAGTAAATAAATATTTAATGGGTGCCCCAAAAGTTCTTGAGCAAATTTCGGGGTCTGTTTCTTGAAATTTGCAAATTTAAAAAAACATCCACCAGAACCTCATTTTCAAATGATTGAATTGTTGAATCTACTCAGATGGTTGAAATGAGTTTTTTTAAATTAAAGTTCTTCTTGGGATACTCATATAAATATAAATATTTGCTATGTTATCACCTCAATATCTTTTGCTTTTTTCACATTTATTTTTTATTATTATTCCATACAGAGATGATATCCGCATTACAAAAAGACTTACAAGAATCCCAGGTAGCCTTAAATGAAAAAATTGAGTCAATAAAACAATTTGAATCAAACTTAACTACTGCCAGTTGTGCCAACGAAAAATTGAAAGAAGATTTGGAAGAACTAGGAAAAAAGGTGTCGGAAATAAACAGTTCTTCGTTACAGAAAGACTCCGAAATTACCATATTCAAAACAGAAATCGAGAAATTGCAAATTTCATTGAATGAAAAAACTCAACAGCTCGAAAACTCCAATGTTGAGTTAAACAATATCCAAACCAATTTGAGTAAAGAGCTCGATAAGCTTAAGATGGAGTTAAGTGCCAAAAATATAGATTTTGAAACTAAATGCGACGAATTAAAACTCAGTGAAGAGTCTATAAACAATTTAAATAAAGAATTGCAAATCCTAAAATCGGACCTATCCAACAGAACTAATGATTTAGAGAAGTACAAAAATAATTTAACTGATGTGCAAGGCAACTTGCAGAAAGAGCTAGAAATAATTCGGGAACAATTAAATCTTAAAAATGAAGAACTAGAAAACAATAAAACTCATCTAGAAAATATTATAGCCGGTAAAGAAAAAGATATAGCAGAAAAATCCAGTAAAATCAGCGAATATGAACAATCTCAAAAAGTATTAGAAGAACAAGTTAAGAGTGTTCAGAAAGATTTAAATATTAAAATGCAAGAATTCGATGGCAAATATGAAGAACTTAATAATCTAATAAGTGTTAAAAACAAAGATATTGAGGAAAAAAATACTTCCATAATAAGTCATGAAGAAAACATAAAAAAATTATCAGAGGAAATCGAAATAATATCAAAATCTTCGGAGGAAAGTAGCAAGAACACAAATGAAAAATTCTCCAAAGATATTACAGAGAAGGACAACAAAATCAAAGAAGTAACTGAAGAACTGAACTTCAAAAACAATTTGTTAATAAAGACAACAGAAGAAATAAACAAACTGAGAGAAGATATCACCAAAAAGAATACGGAACATGAAGCATTATCAAAAGATCTTGAAGCACTTAAATCTCAATACGAAACAGACTCAAAAGCTAAAACTTCTGAGTTACAAACTCACATCGAACTCATCACAGAGAAAGACAATCAAATACAAAGTTTGCAGACTGAACTTGAAACTACAAAGTTAGATTTACAATCGGTTTCGAACGATTTAGTTCAGTACCAAAACAACTTAAGCGACGTAGAAAACAACTTGAAGCAAGAACGTGATAGTATCAAGGAATCGTTAAAAGAGAAAATTGTTGAGTTTGATGGCATCAAAAGTCAACTCAGTGGTGAGATTATAGAGAAAACTAAGATTATTGAACAGGTGCAGTCAGATATTAACCAAAAGAGTGTGGAGTTGGAGAAGGTTATAAAAGAAATGGGCGAATTGAAAGAGAATTCTGAAAAACAGATTAAGGCATTACAAGAGATTCATAGCAAAGAAATTGGTGAGGTCACAAGGTCTCTACAAAGTGCCACAGAAAAATCGTATGGATTGTTCAAGGAGAACACCGAGTTGAAAAACCAGTTAGAAAAAGTAAAGGACGATGATACAGATAAGAAAACAGAAATAGAAAGTTTGAAGGTGAAATTAGAAGAACTAGAAAATAAGTACAAACAAGAAACAGAAAGCTACACCAAATTAAATAATGAAAAATTAAAAGAAATGCATGATGAAGTAGAAAGTAAAAATACCGAAATTAAAACATTGCATGAAGAATTGGAAAAACTCAAAAATGAATTAAATCAAGATTTATCCAGTAAAGACGAAAATATTCAAAAAATGGTACAACAAATCAACGAAAAAGATAATAAAATTCAAAAACTAAAAACCGATTTTGATGTGATCAAAACAAAACATGAATCTTACCTGAAAGAGATTGTAGAAGAGCATGGTAAATCAACGAGTGAAATGAAGGAAATGTTGGATATTAAAACCAAAGACTTTGAAAAGCAAATTGCCGACAAAGAGAAGGAACTTAATGAGCAAATTAGTAATTTACGAAACGATATTGATATTAGAGAAAAAACGGTTACTGAGTTTAAATTGGAGTTGGAAAACAAGGCTAAGGAAATAAGTCAGCTAAATTTGTCTGTCGAGAATTTAAGGAGTGGACAAGAGATGTCCAATAAAGAATTAATGGAAAAACACCAAAAAGATATTCAGGAAAAAGATTTGAAGTTGAGTAAAGTCGAGGAAGAAAATAAAGTTAAACTAGAGGAAATTTCCAAACTATCAAATGAGAAATTGGAAATGTTAGAGGAGTGCAAAGTTAAGAATCAAGATTTGGAAAAATTGCGTGAAGAAATTGAAGTGATCAAAAATGATCATAAAATGAAAGGGGATGAGAATAATAATTTAAAGGAAGAATTACAGAAAGTACAAGAAGAAAGAGAAAAATTATTAGGTGATGTTGAAAAATCGAGTGACAGCATAAGATATTTGCAAGAAACTAAGGAAAAATTAGAGTCTAATTTGCAATCTCTAACATCTACTTCTGGCGATTTTAATGAAAAATTATCGAAGATAAACGAACAATTATCCGAAAAAGAAAAAATTATCAACGAATCTAAAACCAAATATGACAATGAAGTGCAAATTCTGCAAAAAACCATCACTGATACACAAAATGAAAAGAAAAATTTGGAGCAAATCCTCGATATGCAGAAAGTCGAATACGAAGAAAAGTTAGTAAAAGCATCACAAAACGGAGCAATAGAAAATTTGGAACGAGAAAAAAAGAACCTAGAATTAGTTTTAGATATGCAAAAAGTCGAATACGAAGACAAAATGAAAAAGCTAGATCAAAGTGGAAAAATAAACGAATTAGAAAAATCGTTGAAGTCCGCTAGAGACTTGCATCAGTTGGAAGTTACTAGACTAAAAGAAGAACTAACTAAGGTATTCAAACATAATTAAATAGTAAAAATAAAAAAGTATAATGTGTGTTATTTATAAATACAGGCCCAAAAAACTGTTGTCAATGGGAACACCAATGCCGCACCAAACGAGGTAAGTAAGAATGCAGCTTTTTCTTCTTTTATTGCATGCTTCTTCATTCCAATTTAACTCTGTAGTGCTCGATTTTGCATGGCGTTTTTCTTTACACTAACAGGTTCCATTTCAAAATAACAATATTGATTACAAGCAGCTCCTGGAAGAGAAAATTTTCGCCGAGAACCAAGTGTCTTTCCTAAACTCCATCATCGTGGACATGCAGAAGAAGAACGAAGAACAGAAAGCTAGAATCGAGATTTTGGAGATGGGGTACAGTCCTAACGCTGCGGCAGAACTAAATTTGTAAGTATTGGTATTATTTTTCAACTTTGTGTAAGTATAGGTATTTACAGTGGCGGGCTTATTGTGGTTCCGAGGGAATGCTGGAACTGTAGGTTTAGTAAGAGGCAGATTTTTAAATATTTTCCAAGATGGTTTTAGGAAAATTTCTTCTTAAAATTAATTAAATTTCAACTTATTTTGATAATAAAATTGCGACTGATATTTTGTTTAAATCATATATTTTTATATGATGGGAGTTTTTTAAATATTTTAATAACTTCCCAGATGGTTTTTGGACAATTTCTCCTTAAAATTAATAAAATTTCAACTTATTTTGATAATTAATAAAGTCGCAACTTATATTTTTTAAATTATATATTTTTATAGGATTGGAGTTTTGTAAAAATTTTAATAATTTTCAAGATTGTCTTAGAGCAATTTTTCCTTAAAATTAATAAAATTTCAACTTATTTTGATAATTAATAAAATTGCAACTTATATATTTTTTAAATCATATATTTTTATAGGATACAGGATATAGAATAATTTCCCAGATGGTTTTAGGACAGTTTTATGAGGCGCCGTTTGGGCCAATATAAAATTAAGTATTTATATATAAATTTTTAACTTTGATTGAAAATATTCTTGATATATAAAAGATTTTATTTGTGTGATTTAAGTTTACTTGTGATTGATTTATTTTAAAGCTTTCAAAATATACCGTGTGCAATGAGGGCGCCACTTCAATGTTCGTAAACATTAATGGATAGAAATTTACATCCTTGATTCTAGATATATAATTTTAATTTTGTGATTTAAGTTTGCTGGTGAATGATTTATTTAAAAGCTTCCACAATATACCGTGTGCAGTGAGGGCACCACTTTGATGTTCGTAAACATTTTTGACATAATTGTCATTTAACATTGCCCGTTATTTATTTTATTAAACTTAACATTTATTTAAACTTTAAAATATTAAAATAGCTTTAAAATATTATTAATTATAGCAATAAAAACCCAAATAATAATACTGATAATAATAATATTGAAGTTATTTTAATATTTTAAAGTATCAATAAATGTTAAGTTTAATAAAATAAATAACGGGAAATGTTAAATGACAATTATTTCAAAAATGTTTACGAAGATAAAAAGTGACGCCCTCACTGCACACGGTAGATTGTGGAGGCTTTAAAATAAATCAATCACAAGCGAACTTATTTCACACAATTAAAACCTTTTATATATCAAAAATATTTTCAATCAAAGATGAAAATTTATATATAAACACTTAATTTTATATCGGCCCAAACGGCGCCTCATATGGCGCCCTCATTGCACACGGTATATTGTGAAAGCTTTAAAATATATCAATCACAAGTAAACTTAAATCACACAATTAAAATCTTTTATATATCAAGATTATTTTCAATCAAAGATAAAAATTTATATGTAAATACTTAATTTTATATTGGCCCAAACGGCGCCTCCCAGATAGTTTTAGGACAATTTTTACCTAAAATTAATAAAATTTCAACTCATTTTTATAATTAATAAAATCTCAACTTATATTTTTTTAAATCATATATTTTTATAGCATGGGAGTTTTTTAAATATTTTAATAATTTCCAAGATTTAGGACAATTTCTCCTTAAAATTAATAAAATTTCAACTTATTTTGATAATTAAAAAAATGGAAACTTACATATTTTTTAAATCATATATTTTTATAGGATGGGATTTTTTTAAATATTTTAATAATTTCCAAGATGGGTTTAGGACAATTTCTTCTTAAAATTAATAGTATATTTTGATAATTAATAAAATCGCAACTTATATTTTTTTAAATCATATATTTTTATAGGATGAGAGTTTTCTAAATATTTTAATAATTTCCAAGATGGTTTAAGGACAATTTCTCCTTAAAATTAATTAAATATTATAACTTATTTGGATAATTAAAAAAATCGAAACTTTTATAGGATGGGATATAATCCTGAAAGGTTGGTGGCTCCCAGAATGTATTGTGATATTTGTGAAGAATTCGATTTGCATGAGACTGAAGATTGTCCCCAACAGGCTTCAGAAGAACCGATGATAGGAGACCAAATGGTTGGTTTGACAGAGGTTAAACAAAAACCACCTCCAAGACCCTATTGTAATATTTGTGAAGGTAAAAATACAATTTATGGAAGAATGTGCTAACCAAAAAAGTTGATACCTTATTGCATAACATTATGCAAAAATGTGTTAACCCAAATTAATTTTTCATATTAATAAAAAACATTTTTTTTTTCAGTTTTTGGACATGAAACCGAAAATTGCACAGAAGATCAGGAATTTTAGATTAATTTTATTTGTAAATATTATTTATTTGTCCATTTTAAATCAAGTTAATTGTTGTTAATTTTAAATTACCATGTTAACTAGTTAAATAAAACCTATTTATAAATACACAATATGATCTTTATTTTGGAATTCTTAAAACATACCTAATAAACAATAAAATACTTAATCTAAACCTTCCTTTTTCTCCTTAATGGCTTCCTATAACAAAAAATAAGCAAATTATGTAAAAACCAAAAAAAAAATCCTAAAAACTAACCTTGAAACGTTCTTCAAACAAACACAATTCAGATATCAAATCAGTGATGGCATTTGTCAATGCTTCTTGTGGTGAATAATCGGAAGTTGTTTGTATTCTTAAGACAAACTTATGTTCTAAAGGATGTGGCAATTTATAACCAGCAAACAATACATTTGGATCCTTTAACAACTGGCTAAAAATTGTTAAAATATTGTTATAATATATCTCTTAAAAAGTAACATTGTAACGTAGCATTCTCCTTAACCTAGTGTGCTGTGGAGAATACTATGCTCTGATTGGGTTATTGCTTTCTATAGAGATAATATCAGTTGAAAGCATATAAAAACCACTTATGGTAGAAAGTAATTAAAAGTAAAGTTATATAAACTTTTCATATCATTCTTAGCAAGTACTTACTTTCTAATCATATTTCCAAGAGTATGATCCTCTTTATTTACAGTAAAAATTGCCGCATTGGGGACTTTAGTATCTTGTTCCCGAATAATTCTAGAAAAAATATTTTAGTAAGCATTTTTTCAATAACAAAACAAAAAACTTACTTCTTTTCTCCATCGTATAATAAAAACGATTCGAAGGTTGGAGGCGCATTCATTTTGACTCAAATTTGAGAGAAAAAAAGAGAAAATGTAAACACTACAAACGCTTGCTGTCAAAACAGGGCATACAATAAAAAGTTAGGTTATGTTATAGTTTTGTGTCTAAAGTATCTTAACAAATGTTTGAAATCAACGGTATCATTAGGTTCATTCCAACCAGCAGTAATATTACCGTAATATTATCGTCCGTAACAGCGTTAATGCGACTGCGCGAACAAAAATAGTAAAATTATTTTGAATAATGTATAAACTGGTTGGAACCTTTTTTGAACTGGTAGTACTTACAATCAGAAGAAAAAGAATATAACCCAAAACCCACAATTGTATTGTGCTAAAAGCTAAGTAAAGCGCATATATATATACCTATAGGTATATCTATTTCAATAAAGTAATAAATATGGCAGGTTTTTTAAATAATTACTTGTATGATTCTTCGGATGACAAGGAATTAAGATTTTATTGGGGACATTGCTACTAGAAATAAATATAACCCACGTTTGTTGAGTTTATAAATATATATAAAAGTATATTTTAATAACATCACACATTGATAATAAATTCTTCCATTCCTGCTCACAAATGACAAAAATTAGATGTATTAACATTAAAAATTAATAAAATCACCTTGTATAGCAGTCATTTTTAAATAATATGTCCACTTTAACAGAAAACAAACTTACAAACGTTAATAAATAAACAAAAAGATGAGGTTATGTGCCCCTTCTACGCATGCGTCTAATTTTATTATCAACAGTTCTTGCTCTCGAGCAAGAATCGTTTGAACCGTAATTTAACTGTTCGTAACTCTGGTTGGAACGACGAACTGACAGTAATTGCCAGTAATATTACTGGAAATTACTGCTGGTTGGAATGAACCTAATATCTTCCTTCGTACAAAATTACGTTTGAATAATGTGCTTTTATTACACATAAATTATCCTCAAGTAAACTGTTTATCCCATAAATCAATGCAGCTATCTGCTTAAAGCAGGCGCATAATTTACCACTTCGATAATAGATGGCCATAGCGTAAGTAAACATAAAACAGATGAGGGTCTGTTTATCTGTCAAACGAGATAAGCGTAATTTATAAACATGTGAAATATTAAGGAATTTAGTCGGTTTCCTTATGCTTAACAAATACAAAACTCTTTTATTCGGAATTATATTTAAACCCCTTATGCCTGCATGCTTTATTTAATTAATGTTAACGCGTTTAAAGTATGTTAAGAAACATTTGGTCAAAGTGGGCTGTGTTTTAGTGCGGTCTGGTTTAGTTTCCATGGATATATAAATAATACAAGTTGTAAGTATTATACAACAAAGTGACATTAGTTTTGAAAGTTTTGCGTGCGAAAAGTTTGACTTGGCGCACGCGTGCCAAAGGGCCTTATCACGAGGTTGCTCGCGCGTGTTTACGTTTGATAACATTTCCACGATTTTCACCATTCGGCGCGGAGTTTTGCTCTGGTTATCTCAAAATTTGCGCTCGAAAAAGAAATGAGCCTCTATTTGATGCTCACGTTTTTTGCTTGTGCCTCAGCTTTACTGGGTAAGTTTCTAGTTATTAATTTTATTTATAATAGGTGAGTGTTTTTTAAAGGCGGAAAATTTGTTTTTTAAAATGTTTTGCGGAAGCATGCTATCTATGTTTATAAATAAGAGTGATATAATTTAAAATAAACCCAGTTTTTGCGGTAACTGATTTAAATATAATTCGTATTATAATATAATTATAATATAATCGGTATACCGATATTATGATCGGTAATATAGGCATTATTTAGGTATATTATTTCTTCTGATGATTATGTACTTAGTGAATAACTATGATATTACCTACCTACTTTCTGAATAACTAAAAAACTATTTGAGTTAAAGCTTTAAAATTTGGCATTCATTTTAAGAATAGTATAAATAGTATAAAAGAAATAATTCAGTTTTAATTGCATAAAGTAAAAAGCTTCCTACGTGTTTATTTTAAATGTTATCGTTGGCGCGAATTTACATACGAATGAGCTAAAAATAATGTTTTACTCGACAAAAAATTAGGTATCATTTTGTTTTATGATTTTTTTCAATGAAGTAATTTATTTGATGTTCTTATACCTAGTTATTTTTTGGCAAAAGTACAAAGTTAAACGTTTCTATGTGTAGTTTATGTTGTCCCTTTTTGCCTTTTTATTCGCATCGTCTCCTCTTTCGTCTGCTGGCAGAGCTGAAATATCTCCTCTGATAAAAACCCTGCGATTTTAAAGTATTATTGTTATTACTGGGGACGACAAGACGTCTAGTGTGGACAGACGACGGTTTACTAACCCCAGAATTGATGTTAAAAAGGACCCAAATGAAATAATCAATGATAACTCTATCTATGCGTTCAGACGACTCTTTTTTGAGTTTATGTCTGTATCCCAGAGCCAGACTGTATTAAGTCCACTTTTTTGAAATTATTTTTTGTGTACATTTTTTTGTCCTTTCCAGTGGTAAAGAGGATTAAGTCCTGGCTTACTTAGTTTTTTGATGTACGTATCAGTCTGGCTCTGGATTTATATAAACTTAAAATAAACAAAATAATTTTATAATTATAATTTTATTATTATGGAAAATGCTCGGGAAAATGGTCTTTTTCTATACAAGTATGGAAAATAGCTCTTATGGGCGTGTAATTTATTAATATTGAAACTATTATTTTTAACTAAATAGCTATTTGATCGACACCCAGCAAACCAAATCATTATGGAAAATGCTCGGGAAAATGGTCTTTTTCTATACAAGTATGGAAAATAGCTCTTATGGGCGTGTAATTTATTAATATTGAAACTATTATTTTTAACTAAATAGCTATTTGATCGACACCCAGCAAACCAAATCATTATGCAATATTTACTTATTATCTGTATATAATTTATGCAATATTTACATATTATTTATGAAATATTTATAAATATAATTTCATGTAATATATTATTTTACTGGTATTAAAAATTGCTTAGCCCTAACTTGGTATTATGGCAAATTTTTTGAAAAAAAATCAACAAAATTTTAAAATTGCCATAATACCAAATTAGAACTAAGAAATTGTTAATGCCAGTTAGATAATATATTAAATAAATTATAAATAAATATTACATAAATAATAAGTAAACATTACAGAAATAAATGATTCTGAAAGAGATTTAAAAAAACACAAATTGGTTAAAAATGTTTATTAAAAAATATTTTAATTAAAAAAACAAATCATTCCTTCTTTCTAAAGGGGCCAAATAAATCTAAAAACAAACATTGTAAAATATGAAAAAATCACTTTAATTTTAATTTTACAAACGAAAAGTTTTTCAATTTTTCCAAACTTTAACAAAAAAAACCTACCTAAATACAATACTTTAAAGCTAAAAAATATATGGTAAAAAAAGAGAAAGCAATCCCATGAATTTAATATTAATATACCTTCTTTTCATGGGTTTTTTGTTTTCCTCACAAATCTTTGTTTGGGCTGCCGGAACCATTCGGTAACTATGTTTTCAAAAGTATTGTCTGTTGAAGTGCAAACAGCAGCTTAAAAAAAATATATAATAAAAAAAGCCATAAAACTTTTTACCCTTCAATATATCAACAAATTTTAAATTTTAAATTTTGTATTTTTTTGTTGTTTCTTAGGCCAAGAACAATCTTTTGCCAGATTATTAGAGAAGATTTTTTTTAAACTCTTACTGTAGAATCTTTTTCGAAGACGCCTTCATTTTTATATACTGAAACTTAAAAAAAAAATACTATTTATATTATTTTTGCTTATTGATTTGTTTTTAAAACATACTACCAACTACCAACTATTCTTTATGTAGTTATGTAAATGATATTTGGTACAAATACTAATTTGTTTGATTTTATTAATTCAAGTCAAATGCATAAAATTAATTGTCACAACAATTATAATAAAAAAAGTGTATCCATCTTATTTAGCAAAATTATTGTATCCTTTACCAGTTGAAAAAACAGTATAAAGTTAAAAATTTATAGATATTAAACTCTTATTTTGGCTACCAAATATCATTAAATTATAATTTGTCGCTTGTTTTTTTAGCACCCTGTTTTAAAAATAAATTAACATTATCAAACAGGTTTAAAATCGTCCTTTATATACTTACAAATTCAGCCTCTACTTCTTTTTGCAATAATGTTTTCTCAAAACTTTTAACAGATCATTAATAAAAAGTTGACTAGGTAAGTATCTATTACACAAATTTTGCAAATCTTTCACAAAATTATGGGAATTTTTCCTATGACCTCCTGAATATTCTCCCAAATTTTCTGTAAAAATATTTTTATTGAGCTGTTTATTTATTGGCTGGTTAGGGGAAGATAATACTTCGGTTTTAGCCTCAGTATATTCTGGCAAAGGTACACTTTCCACATTGTCTTGGGTATTTTGTATACAATTTCTTACCTCCACGCCCATTATTTTAAGATCTGCATTAATTCTCCTCCGCTATTGCCTCCGGGATAGGGAAATATATTTTTTCGTTCCATTTTATTATAAAACAATGGAATCAAATTTAACTTAACTTATAACACAATAGAGAGCACTCGACACAACCGTTTAAACGAGTTCGTTAGTAAGATAAAAAGGCTATATAAATACTATAAAACATTAATATATAACATTTATATATCATTGTTATATAGCCATGACATAGTAGGGATGTAAATATAACAAGAACGGATCATTTTTATATAACTATTATATTAAAATGTTTTATTATAATTATGTAACAAAATAAAGAAAAACTATGTAAATACCATATAATAAGGTTATATAGATACTATAAAACATTGCCATATATCAATTATGTATCATTGTTCCATTGTAGACATATAACATTGTTATATGGCTGATACATAAGGGGGATGTAAATATAACAAGAGGGGAACATATTTACATAAATGTTATATTACTATGTTTTATCATAATTATGTAACAAAATAAAGAACTAATATGTAAATGTTATGTGAACAATTTTATATGGCAATGTTCTTTGTTAGTTATATCATGGCTATGTAAATGGAACAGCCTGGTTTGCTGGCATATTATACATATTTAAATAAAATAAGTAAAATAAGCAAAATGGTTAAAATTTTTAAGGAGGCCAAGCCTCATTTGCCTCCCCTTACGAGCGGCCAGTGATACTTACTGGCCTTAAAACAAAACTGTTATAGGTAATTAATCTCCCAGACATGCCTATTTCCTGGACTTCCGATAAAATGTACCATTTTAAAGCTTAAACCGTTTAATTAGATTTTACATAGGTACGTACCTATGTAGAATCTTTAAATTCGATATTGGCTAACCTAACTTTGCTATACGAAATCGGCTCACGTATTTTTTTATAATCTGCCGTCGGACGCTGTCTACTTATCCTATCTGCCTCCTGGCTTTAGTTTTCCTAACTAAGTTTCCCAGGACGGAAAGTTCAAGTTTGTTGTCTTCGGCTCCCCAAAGACAGGAGAGAAGAGACTTTGCATTAAGAATAGGAGGGCTCACTCAATTAGACACGATATGAATAAGGCATCTAGATGATCCAGTCGTCTTAAGGAGGTTGTACCTTTACTTATTTGATTGTTTTAAAGTTGAAAAAACAGTTAATTTTTTTTATAAACGCTGAAAATTAGGTTATGTGTTTATATTGTTATACAATTTGTTCCCGGATCGGGTATCAATTTTTTTAGGAAATCTCATGTTTTAAACGATCTTCTTATGAAGGATGGATTTTTTCTTAAAACGCAGGAATACGGAAGGGTAGAAGGGCCACACTTTTTTTCTCGCTTATAACACGGAATTCCGACTTATAACTCGGAATTTCGACTTATAACTTGGAATTCCGACTTATAACTCGGAATTTTGACTTATAACTCGGAATTCTCACTTATAACTCGGAATTCCGACTTATAACTCGGAACACTAACGAACACCTACGAACACTCACGAACACACACGAGTTATAAGTGAGAATTCCGAGTTATAAATCGAAATTCCGAGTTATAAGTCGGAATTCCGAGTTATAAGTCGGAATTCCGAGTTATAAGTCGGAATTCCGAGTTATAAGTCGGAATTCCAAGTTATAAGTCGGAATTCCGAGTTATAAGCGAGAATATTTACGCTTCCTAGCATTTTCATGTTTTTTTAATTTCTGAGCAAGATGTTCATTTCATTATTTTTTTTGTAAACAAGTCTTTATGAAAAAGGATTTTTTTTTCTTATACTGTATATATATATATATAAGTTATACATACTGTTTTTAATACCAAATCATTACGATATTTTTCGGTATTTACAATTGTAAACTCATTTAAAATAAATAAAAATAATAAAATCTTTCTCAAATTTAAATTAGTTTGTAAATGCTGTGCCTTGCTTTGGTGACCCATTCCATTATCAGGTAAATAAAAAAGGTAATGGGATTTTTTTAAAAGACAATTAAAAACAATGTTTTTAAAACAACATACATAAATAAATATTCATTTCGGTCTTCTTTTGGCGATAGCGTTAATGGC